TCGATCAGTATTGCTCAACCTGATTACGGAAAGTGGTATACATTTGAACGTTAGCAGACTGATCTGTGATTATTTCACAGATAGAAGGCAGTTTACATGTTTCAATTACAAAAAGTCCTCCACTCGCCCAGTTTATTCTGGTGTCCTGCAAGTTGCAATATTTTCCCCATTTTTCCTTTCTATGTATTTCAAACAACTTCCCAATCCTCCTGCATTCATTGGCTGTAAATACGCTGATGACGTTGTTTTAGGTTACAAAGCATCCACTGTTGAAGAAGCTTCAGAAATTCAAAGCAAGCTGAACGACGTTTTCATTTGGTCATTGTCCCGTTTCCTTCCATTGAATGTCCCTAAATGTCAGGATGTTGTGTTTTTCCCTTGGCCGATGTACCATATTCAGCCCTTATAGATAGGTTCCCCACCCTCTCTGCAAATCAACAACCCTTAGTGAAATCAAAAATAGTAAAATACCTTGGCGTCACCCTATCACACAATTTATCATGGTCACGGAACGTTCGAAACATATTCTGTAAAATTAGAAAACTTTCATATTTCTCACTCCGATTGAGATTACTTTCTGCTTCCACAAGCTGGTTGTTAGATTTGTGAATGCATGCGTGCTACCCCACTGGTTGTATTGCTCCCCAGTAATTTTTCCGGGTATGTTGAAGAAAGACTTTTATTTACTGGAGAGATCTGTGAAACACATCTCTAAATGTAGTGGCATTGTGAGGGCTAAACTGGCCGATTCTATCATTGACAGATATTTAAAAGCATGCGAAAGTTTCACCACTAAAATACTCTCAGATACTCACCACCCATTATACAAAGAATTTTTAAAAGCTGTATCCACATCACCCACAAGCTCAAGATTTAAACTGTCATTTGCACGTACCTCTACTTATCGTAATTCTGTTCTGCCATATCTAGCACGTCTACTTATAGACAAGGACAAAAGTTCCACAGAATTGCGCAACCATTTACTTTATTGTCAAACACACCCCAATGCTTTCAGTTTTATTATGTAACGATTTGCAAATTTCATTTAACAAGTATGGCGCAAATGTTGAAAATACACCCATGCGGGTGCATAAAGCTACTACTGGCTGGACGTGACTTGACTATCTATCTATCTATCTATCTATCTATCTATCTATCTATCTATCTATTCCCCCAGGTAGAGGGCATCAGCCCTGTTGAAGCAGTTAATTTCCATTCAGTTTATTACAGTTTGTAACACATTTATCCTTGCATTTTTTACGAAACCGTGCTAGATGGTATGTTTTGGTTACCCGTTACGTGAATGCGAGAATACGGAGCACATGGTTGAGTTGGATTACTGTAAATGGTATCATTATAAACATATCTTGATTTTAAATAGACCACCCATCTGTATGCAAATAAACCACGGTTCTCAGATCAACATCACTATTTCGAAACATTGCTATTTGGGCAAAATCCATTAGTACTTCTACGTATTCATTTGGATAGTGTCTACCATTGCATTCTCATAGTGTTCAGTACTAACTTTGTGGTTCAATCGCCCGAATATTCATTTGTTATTCTGAACTCACATTACACTACCCGTAGAGAATATTGAGTAGAGTGCAATCGGAATGTCGGGGCAGTCATGTCACGTGACTATCCAACATTTCGTTGTAATGCAAACTGTGAGAAAGCGGATAAATCAATTCATGAGTATAGGTGGGAATGAACAACGGATCCCAAGAAGCGGAGACACCCGAATAGTTGATTTCAGGGCTCTTAGACGCTTATTGATTAACCACGACAGTAGCATGAACTGAATGGCATTCTTGATCGGTATTCGATCGTTCAATTCAGCTTCAGTCCGCATTGTATTATCGATTCAGTGATTAATGAGTTCGATAAGCGAGGCCTAAACCTCTTCTTGTTGAATGGCTGATCATCATCGACGGTTGGTTGTGTTTGGATTAGCCAACACAGAGGACCGTGTAGAGAGATGAACAATGTAAATCTATCACGCGGTCGATAGGTCAAATGATAATATGGTAAAATTTTTGAGCTCTTAAGAAAATAGGGTCTATGTTTTCCCTAGTGTAATCACTACTTTGATCATGCCACATGCTACAAACGATGATTTACCGGTCATCATGTGGAATACGATTCCTTAACATAGTTTTTTAAAAACGCGATGTTTAACAAACCCTGAATTTACTATAGCTTATCTAATCCCGTTTCATGGGGTCAATCCAATTGTCATCACATTCCTACCCGTAGCCTGCCGGTGGAAGGATACGCAGTCAAAGCCTGACAACTGTCAAATGCAACTCTCCGTGTCACAGCCGGTTTTCTTCCACTAGAGTCTTATCTTCTTCTCCGCCTCAGCCGCCGCCTCCTCCTCCTCCTCGACCAAATAGGCCAAGACCGGAATCTGGACCGCCATCTGCCAGAGCTCCTTGGCGACCGTCGGGTAAATTTCGACCAGCCACGGCGACTGGAACGACTGGCCCGAGACCACGACGTATTGTGGTCAGTAGTGGTATCCCGTGGCGTACAGCGGCTCGCGCCTCCCGATGCTGTCGGTAAGCCACTGGTGGATTTTGACTGTTTAAGATAGAAAGGCCGAGGTTACCAGCAACAATTAAAGCGGTTCAACAGTTCGACAGTTCGCGGAGGATTTAATTGTTCGTTGCGCGTAAACTGTTTGGAATCCTGGTCTGACAACACGTTTGGGTTTGTGCGCCTCTCCTTAAAGACCACTGCTGACTCACTCACATATTAATTAGTTTCACAACCCAAGACAATCCCCGTCAGTTACAAAGGGCGCCTCGAGTATTGACTTCTAAACATATAACGTTCCTATTACGTCACAGATCTCTTCAATATTGCAAACGAATAGTCTGTGATAGACGAGCAGGATACAGCTCTGATCCCGCATCTATTAATTACCTATGTTTTCTTTCAAAAATCTGAGCTCGGGAAGGTATTCCAAGGCTGAGCATACCAGTAAATCTAAACAAATCCGAAGTTTTTCAATAGAAAACATAAGTACATTATAAAACGATGCACTTTTGATGACCCACCTTTTTACAGAAATTTTCATGTTAGCACATACCTTTACATGCTATAAATTTCGCAATACCATTACTTTGATAAAATTATACTGAAATTCGCTCAAAGATTCAAAGATTCAAAGAATTATTGTGGGAATAACTTACAAGCTCATGCTTTTCTGGTCCCATAGGTTCGTGCGTCGGATTAAGAAACAGTGATACATACAATTCTTTTTGTAAACTGTCACGTGATACGTGCGTTTTCCACTGCTTTACCCAGCTTCACTTATGTTGGAACGTAAAATGTGCTAGTGTTTCATCGAGCCTCAGTTTGAAAGACTCAATGCTTGGAGCACAGACGACGTAGGATGGTAGAGAGTTCCAGATCGAACACACTCTGACTGCGAATGACTGACGTCGGTATTCCAATCGGCATTTTGAGACCACTAGTTTAAATGGGTGTCCCTTAAAATGAACGTTGGGTGATAATTTCAGAAGCGGGCGACACGGATGGCTTGGGTTTTGCGTTATTTGGTACACCATAATCATATCTCCTCTGATGCGCCGGTAATGATTGAAATATAATCCCAGTGACTTCATTCTCTCTACGTATGAAAACCGATTCAACCCCCTGATCATTTTTGTGACCATAATTTGTGGACGCTCCAGCATCTTGCGATCTCGCTGTAGCCATGGATTCCAGGCTCGGATAGCGTATTCTGTGAGTGGTCGAGTGTATGCTGATAGTAGACGGAGGAAAAGTGCTGACTCAAACCGGCCGAAGACCCGCTTATCAAGCCGACATTCTTTACAGTTGCGTTGGACACCTTAGTGCAGTTGTGTGAGCAGCTTAAGTTTTCTTGAATGATGATACCCAGGTCCTTCTCACTTGAGGCGTGTGGCAGTTATTTATTTCCGAGGAAATATGAAAATCTCCCCCTGTGCCGTAGGGATAGAACCTTGCATTTTGGCACATTGTATTCTATATCGTTCAAAAGGGACCATAGATGAGCTGCATTCAACGTTTCTTGGAGTGCCAATGAGCCCGTTGGTTGCGTTTCTGTATTCCAAATTTTGGCGTCATCTGCGAACAGTAATGATTTTAGCCCCAGAGCCTTCGGAAGATCGTTTATGAACGTTAGGAAAAGTCGCGGGCCAAGCACAGATCCTTTTGGAACCCCACGGGTAACGTCCATAGGACTGGAAAGCGAATCAGAAACACGAACCGATACGGTCCGATGTCGGAGAAGTGCTTCGATCCAGCCAAGCGCGAGGCCCCGAATACCGTGGTTATAGAGTTTCCTCAGTAGAATGTCGTGGTTTACCCGATCGAAAGCTTTTGAGAAGTCAAGATGAATTACGTCCACCGCGTCACCACCATTAACTGCTGATAACGTATTTTATACATTGTGTTTCTGCAGGACTCCGCTTCAGTTTTCACAAACAAAGATCGCCGGACTGCACGTGGGTTTGGTTTACCTAGTCAGAAATATTTCATTGTTACCATACCGTTGGATACGTGGTCGTATGATGAATTTCCTGGTGCGCTAGGTAAATAAAGTGTGAAATGAAAAGCTAATACACACCGGACAGCTATTACGATCTGTTTGGGTGCGTAAATGCGGATCGTTTCGTTTCCAGTCAGAAATGTTCCTGCATGTGTGATAGAATCGACAACAAAGTAAAAGTTCACTCGGTGTAGGCTCGTAATCCAAACTTCGAACCCTTCCCAGTTTTTCAGATCGCGCTGAACTACTTTTAAGCGTAGAAAAAACGATGGCAAAGATCTTTCTTTTGGGTATATAATTTAATCAGATGTCTGCATATTTTTATCATTAATATAAACACCTTATAAGGTGAATACAGCTCGATTCAAACGGATTACGGAAACAGACAAACAAACAAGCAAACCGAGCAACCATGTTTGATAGAGCTCGGCGTCACTCATCAGTAAGTAGTTGGTTAAATGATCAGTGCGTTTCACGTCAGTGTAAGGCTCTATCTTCACGACACAAGGTGCGATTTTCGTATTTCCTCCGAAATGAACAACTGCCACACGCCTCAAGTGAGAAGGACCTGGGTATCATCATTCGCGAAATCTTAAGTTGCTCACTCAACTGAGTCAAGGTGTCGAACGCACCTGTAATGAATGTCGGTATGCTCAAGCGTGTCTTTGGCCGGTTTGAGTCAGCACTTTTCCTCCGTCTACTATCAGCACAAATTCGACCACTCACAGAATACGCTATCCAGGCCTGGAATCCATGGCTACAGCGAGATTGCAAAATGCTGAAGCGTCCACAAAGGATGACAACCAAAATGATTAAGGGGTGAAATTGTTATTCATACGCCGAGAGGTTGAAGTCGCTGGCGCATCAGAGGAAATATGATTACGGTATACCAAATAATGTGAAACCCAAGCCATCCTTGACGCCCGCCGGTAAAACTATCACCCAACGTTCAACTTAGAGGACACCCATTCAAACCAGTGGTCTCAAAATGCCGATTG